AAAAAAAAAAAAAAAGCCATCCAATTCAACTCTAACCTAAAACAAAAAAAGCATGTGAAAGGCCCTTGTATTTAATCACAAGGTAGGGTCCAGGCCAATAAAGAATGATACAAATTATTTGGTTAAAATGAGATGGCTGAGAGCCTTGGAACAAGAGAAGCGTTTACAGCAGTGAGTCTCAAACTTTTTTTTTTTATTAGTGACTCCTTTCACATAGCAAACCTGAGTGCGACCCCCCCCCCCAATCATTTAAAAATGCTTTTTTATATATTTAACACCATTATAAATGCTGGAGGCAAAGCGGGGTTTGGGGTGGAGGCTGGCAGCTCACACCCCTCATGTAAGAACCTTGCAACCCCCTGAGGGGTCCTGACCCCCACTTGGAGAACCCCTGCTTTACAGAAAACTGGGAAGCAAGGTTGATTGAAAGAAACTGCTTCCTTCTCAGCCCTACAACCTTTGGGTCAGGTTTTCAACAGGACTCAGCACCCAGCAGCACTCATTGAGAACATGGGTGCTGCTGGCACCAAGTTCTTGTGGGGTGGAAATCTGGCCAGGGTGTATAAATGAATTCACTAGGAAGCCCTCTAGCCAAACCCCAACAGAAGGCTGCAGGGGCCAGCGCAGTACAGATCACAAAGAAGGTAGCACAATGCGAACTTTTCTGAAGTAACAGCCCTGATGAAGTGGGTTTTAGCCCACAAAAACAGAGACTAACAAATTTATTTGGGCATAAGGTGCCACAAAGACTCCTTGTTGTTTTTGCTGATACAGACTAACAGCTACCACTCAGAAACCAGCGCTTCCAGGGTCTCTTTCGAAGCTGGGACACTAGAAAGCTTCACACACACAAATCCTGCAAACTCTTCTCCAAGGATTGCATCTCCCCTCCTTCCCCCCTTGATTTGCACAGGACATTTTGTCTGTGAAAAACAAAGGATGTTCCAGCAGGGTTGGGTGTAATCTATCTTCTTAAGGGTAAACTGAAATGCCTTCCTACAACCCAGTAACACAAAACAGCTGCTGGGGAGCTCAGCTGATTAGCAAGGCTGATTTCAAAGTGCACAAATACAGGCATTTTCAAAGAGTGAATGGGAAGCCTCCTTGTCGGTCAACAGCAGGCTGCAGGCCCTGGGGGTGCTGCCTTTCCCTCCCAGCAGCCAGGGATCCGCTGACACCTAAGCAGAGCAGAGCTACATTCTTTAGAGTGTTGGGGGTGTCAGCAGCAGAGCCTTGCCAGCCTCTTAAGGGAGGAGCTGATTTGAAGACATTCCCTTTAACTGGCATTTGCACCTTCAAGGCTTGGGTAGGGTTTTCAGAAGGAGCTGGTGGGTTTGGGTGCCTCAGGGAAGACACCTAACAGGCCCCCATTTTTAGAGGATGGCTCGAGCTCCGGCCCCCCAGAATCACTAGTCACGTCTTGGCCATGCAGCTCTTTGGCAAGGGATTTACTTGTATTGGCTCAGCAGAGAACCATCTAAGGCACATGGATCCAGGACAGTCTAGCCTTGGCTCCAGGAGTGACCCACCCTCCCCACTCACTCTCCAATGGCCAGGGCACAAGAGACAGCTGGAATGTATTTCTCCTTTATCTAGCAGGCCCACTTTGATACAGGACACATGTTCACAGCTTACCACTCCCATCTGGTTCCCTTTAGGACAGTCTCCCCCCACTTACTCCTTACTTTGGTGTTTGAAACCAGCTCACATGCAATTACAGCATGTTTCCAAATTCCCTTCTACAGTCTCTTGAGCCCAAGGGGTGGGGGGATTAACTAGATTAAATCAAATACAGGGGTTAAAATTACCATTCCCAACACACACCCCTTCATCACTCTCCTCCTCCTGTTTACACTGGCATCTAGTGGCTCCCTGGGCATTCTTCCCCCTGCAGGGGAGGAAAAAAAATCAGTAAATCAAAACCACCTTGATTAAAAATGTTACAACCCTATGAAAGTTTTAGGAGATGGGGGAGCCAACACCCCATGGGAAGTAGGTGTAGCAGCAGCAGGCAAGCAAAAGGCTTCCTTTTAAATG